CCTTAGGCATGAAAGCTGGCTGGGTGACTTTGGGCCAATCACCAGGAGACGGGGAGTTCTAGTCCCGCCTTAGGCATGAAAGATGACTGGGTGACTTTGGGCCAATAACCAGGAGATGGTGAGTTCTAGTTCTCCTTAGGCATGAAAGTCAATTGGGTGACTTTGGGCCAATCACCAGGAGACGGGGAGTTCTAGTCCCGCCTTAGGCATGAAAGCTGGCTGGGTGACTTTGGGCCAATCAGTAGTATGAGTTCTAGTTCCTCCTCAGGTGTGAAAGACAGCTGGGTGACTTTAGGCCAATCACCAGGGGACGGTGAGTTCTAGTCCTGCCTTAGGCATGAAGGTCAGCTGGGTGACTTTGGGCCAATCACCAGGAGAGGGTGAGTTCTAGTCCCGCCTTTGACATGAAAGCCAACTGGGTGACTTTGGGCCAATCACCAGGAGACGGGGAGTTCTAGTCCCGCCTTAGGCATGAAGGTCAGCTGGGTGACTTTGAGCCACTCTCTCTCAGCCCGACAGACCTCACAGGATTGTGTTGTGGGGGAAAATTGGAGGAGGAGGAGGAAGCAGCATTTGCGTGCGCTTGCTGCTTTGGCTTAATTGTCAAAATGTAATCAAGGCGGCCTGTCAATCAAGAGTGCCCATAGGAATCAGCCATCTCTTCCGTAATGGGAACTTGACTTCCCAAAAAATGGGCATTTAAAAAATGGAGATGGTTAAAGAGTCTAGAATGATTTCCTGGCCTCGTTTGGAGATGAAATTGCAAGAACAGTTTGTTCCCATGGACATAACCCCAAGCAGAGCCGACTTGGCAGACGCACGCCGGCTAGCGGGGTATCCAAAATGAGCGAACGAGGACTAAGCGGGCTGAAGGCATCAGTTTCTCCTTCTTCTGCTCTTCCCCGGACCCCAGCTGTCCCCTGACACCCTGTCTTCTTTGCCAGCCTTGGAGGAGGCACCTTTTTCGGCCTCTGCTGCCTCCTGACCGGCTGCTCCACCTTCGAAGAGGCCCTCGAAATGGCATCCCACGGAGACAGCACCAAAGTGGACAAACTCGTGCGGGATATTTACGGAGGGGACTACGAGCGCTTTGGGCTGCCCGGTTGGACCATCGCATCCAGGTAAGAACACCCCCCTCCCCGGACGTGCTCTCAGGGGAGAGTGTAGCACAAAACCCGGACGCCCAGCTTTGTCGGTGGTTAGGCTAGCGTCCCCACAAGTCAGCGTTGGGTTGGCGGCTTAGTAAAACCCACATTGGGTGTCCGAGAACCCCTGGGCCGTAGACTGGTACCAGTCTGGAGCTGGTTAGGAACCAGGCCGCACAGCTGGAAGTGAGCGGTGGGTGAACAATTGAAGCTTCATCTACACATGAATGGGACCTAGGTTAAACACACACACACACACACACACACACACACACACACACACACCCCTGTGGAAAAATGGTCTTTGAAATTGAACCCTGGTGCCAAAAAATGGGGATTGCTGGCATAGAGACCCAAAGTTGGGTTTTTTTTCCCAAGGGGCACCTAGATTTTCTGGGTTTTTTTTTTCTTTGAAGACGTTTCGTTTCTCATCCCAGAAGCTTCTTCAGCTCTGACTGGATGGTGGGAGAATGGAAGGATTTCTACTCCTGGCAGACACAGCTGGTCATTTGCATCCTTTTAGAGGGTCGTGGAGGCCGCTTGGAAGTTTATCTGTGTCCTCAGTCACCTGAGTAGTAGACACTTAGCTACGCCTATGTGTGGATTTCCAGAAAAATGGCAGACTGGAGGAACCGTTGGCGCTTCGGTGTGAGATGCCGACACAACAGAGACTCCTCTCCCAACGGCTGTTGTTCACCAGGGAAGAGACGCGAGGCAGAGAAAAACGTCCTGCAGCAAGCACAGCTCCACAACACCGTCCTTTCAGCAGGTCCAAGAAGGTGACCCTGAGGACACAGGCAAACCTCCAAGTGGCCTCAACAGCCTTCTAAAAGGATGCAAACGACCAGCTGTCCGCAGATGCAACACAGGCTCGTCCCCAATGGGCCTACGGCCGTGTCCAACAGCTCCACAACATGGTGCTTTCGATAGTTCCAAGAAAGCTCCTCACCCATTTGCACAACTCGGGTGACCACGAGGACACAGAGAAACCTCCAAGCGGCCTCAACGACCCACTAAAAGGATGCAAATGACCAGCTTTGTCTGCAAGGAATATAAATCCTTCTGTTCCATCCAGTCAGAGCTGAAGAAGCTTCTTGGATGAGAAGTGAAATGTCTTCAAAAGTAAAACCCAAAAGTCCAGTTGCCTCCTGGATAAAGCACCTCTGGGACAACCGAGGACATAGACAAACCTCCAAGCAGCCTCAACGACCCTCTCAAAGGATGCAAATGACCAGCGGTCTGCAAAGAGAATAAATCCTTCCATTCCTCACCATCCAGTCGGAGCTAAGAAGCTTCTTGGATGAGAAGCGAAACGTCTTCAGAGAAAAGCCGGAAAGTCCAGTTGCCTCTTGAAAAAGCACCTCTGGGACAACCAGGACCTGGAGGACTGAAAATCTCCACAGACATTTAACAGGATCTGTTGTTACTTCAAACGGTCACAAAATGAAAGGTTGTAAGTCCAAGGCCTAGCTGTATACAAAAATATGTCTCGACTCTTGCTGACATTTCCTTTTTGCAGGCTTCAGCTCTGACCTTTTTCTGTTTCTCAAATTCAGGTTAGGAAGAGTCTTATATTTTTTTTTAATATTTTTTCCCCCTGAATTTTGGGGTTTGTTGGTGGTGGTGCCGCCATTTTACCCAGAAATCTTTGCAGCGAAGGTTTTAGATCAGGGGTCTCCAACCTTGGCCACTTTAAGACTTGTGGGCTTCAACTCCCAGAATTCTCCAGTCCACGAGTCTTAAAGTGTCCAAGTTTGGAGTCCTCTGCTGTATAATATTAACAAATCTAATTTATTACAATATATATTTTAATATATAATAAAGTATATTTGTACAGGGAAAAATAATGCATGCAGGGAAGAGCTAACTCTGCAATCCTCCCCAAGGAAAGCTGGCTGGAGAATTCTGGGAGTTGAAGTCCACAAGTCTTGGAGACTCTCCGAGGGAGAGGAGGAACAGCGGACAGGGAGTGGAAATGTGGCTCCAGAGGTGGTGGGGGAGGCTGGGGAAGGGCAGAGGCCGGCTGGGCAGTCAGAGGAAGACCCAGGCCCATCCCCTCTTCATCCTAGGGCACGCAGGGAGGAGAGGATAAGGGAAAAACATGAATGGCATGGTCTATGGGGGAGGAAAGGGCCTTGATCCCCTTCATGGGCTGCAGCTGTGAGAACTGGTTAAAAGGACGGACATGCGTATGGGCCAGTGCTGGAAACGAAGCGTGGAAATATCTCTAGTCTGTCGTTCCTCTCTGAGTTTGGCATCCTTTCCAGCGTGTGTTCCTATATCTGGGGACGTCTTCAAACCCTTTATCTTGCCTGGTTCCCTTAATTGCTTCAGTGTGGTTTGTGTTGTTTTTGCTCTTTATAATTTATAGGCATTTTTAGTTTAAACGGTGTTTCCTCCTTCTTGTAACTGTTTGTGGGGGAGTTTTTTTTGTCTCAGTCAAGGATATGTGGAGCTTTGAAGCCAAAGTGAAGGAATGAAAGGGGCTTCAGCTGTTTTTGTGACTGTGCTTATTTTATATCCCACCCTGGGTCATCACAACAAGTCTTAAAGTTGCCAAGGTTGGAGGTCCCCGTTTTGGATTGATTCTGAGCGGAGGGAGGTGTAGTAGCACGGTTCTCGCACTGCTCTAGCCGTCGCCCTGGCTGGATCCGCTTCTTCTGATGAACGAGTCTTTCAAAAGCTTTGCCTGGGGTTCTCCTCTGGCTCTGGCGGTCTGGCTCTCTGCGCGCGTTGGACATGGTGGGGCTCAGTCCTTTAAAAGCTGCCTTGTGTCCCCTTCTTCTTCCCTCTCAGCTTTGGAAACATGATGAGCAAAGAGAAGCGAGATGCCGCCAGTAAGGAGGACCTGGCCCGGGCGGCCTTGATCACCATCACCAACAACATTGGCTCCATCGCCCGGATGTGCGCGCTGAATGAGGTACAGAAGAGTGGGGGCTCAGGGTTGAACCGTGGGGTCCTTTGGGGCTCTCTGAGCTGGGTGGTTTCCTTGCAGACGTTTCATGACCCAACT